CGATGCATCTCTACTTATTATAATATATTTATTTTATTATTTAATTTTAATATTAATATATTTATACGTTATCTTTATTTGGATATATTTGTATGTATTATAGATTAGTGTTATATGTATTACAAGACTACAACTCTTCTGCACATTATAATGCAAATACAACATAGAAACAATTTGGACTTATGAAAAACTGGACGAGAAAATGTGACAATTTGAGAGGAGGAGGAGGCCTAAGGAGAGGCATCAGGCATCGACGGAGCAACCTTGAGGTGAGTATTATTTGTTATCTGTATAAAATTAATGTTCTTTTTTCTCTCATTTATTTACATTTTCGATACATGTCAAACAATGACAATAAATTATTGTAAAGTATTATATTTTGTAGAGATATACGAATTTTGTACAGATTTGTTACCTTAAAATGAGTGAGTTAAGATTGATTATGGCAAATATATTTTTTTAAATCTTGGTAATATATTTATCGAATTGTGAAATTTGTATTTCAAAAAATATGCGTACATTTCATACACATGGAGCAAAATAAAGTTCATCATTAATCATCGAATTATATCGATCATTAAGTTTGTCAAAATCATTTTTTAATCCAATCTAAAGTTTTACTAAAGTTTTAAATAAAATAAAATATATAACAAAATATTTTATTGAAGTAATTTTAGAGAATTTTATTTTGCAAATTTTTACATTAATTTAAAATATATAACAGTTTAAATTTTTGAAATTTTGTTACATGAATCAATTTTACATAATACAATAAATTTTTAGAAAATAAAAAAACAAGAAATTAAATAACATTATAACGTACAAAGTAACAATTTTTGAAAAATTTTTATTTGAGTTTTTTTGTGAAGAATTTTATTTTTTTATTTTTCATAAACAAAAAACACAAAAAAAAGATATTGTGTTATTAAAAAACAAAATAATTATAGATATGGAAAATTTACAAATTAGATAAGATATATTTCACTTATCCATTCTATCTATTATTTTCCACATTTTTATCCAAAATTGAATATTACGTAATAATTGATGCAATGGAGCAATATATATTCAGATAATTTTTCAATACGTATAATACAATAAGTAAAAAGAGTAAGAAATATTTTAAGAAATTTATAGAAAACATATTAATTGTTGTTGTAATTTCTAATATTTTTTTCAACAAAGCAATTTAATTTTACTTTAAGTGATTTAATCAATTTTGATTATTTATTCTTATTTGACTCAAGTAAAAACATATAAGAGTACCACAAAAATGTGGACGAGATTTAGTACATAAAAAAGACTGGGATGATCACTCAGGTTTCTCTACTCGCAGCTAGTGTTACTCAGTATGTGTAGCAGCAAAAAAATAGTACTACTTTATTTCCCAGAGTAAATATTTTTCTTGGGACATGAAGTACTGTACTATTTTTTTCTGAAAGTCATATCTGAACAACATAACATCGACGAGATGCTATTAAAGACGACCGATCTTAACGAAGT